TTCTCCTTCCTTTCTCTTTCCCCTTTTCCTCTCCTTCCTTCTTTCTTCCTTTCTCTTTCCTTCCTTCCACGTGTGCCCATCTCAATGGTTCCTGATGCTCAATTGTTCTAGGTGCTTTACAATAAAAGTGAAGAAAATATACTGCATATAAAAATAAAACACATGCCACTGCCCAACCATTCATCCCCAGCCAGGGGGAGGGCTCTGCCCATGCCCAGGGACCCAGCTGCAACTGGAGCTGTGTCTGTCCATCTTTATTCATTTATTTAACGCATTTACATGGTTCCTTTCCTCAGTACACAATTGAGTGACAATTGAAAGGTGATGTGAAGTAAAGACACTTGGTTAGATCTTCTGGTCAAGAAATGGTGAGAAGCCCAAGGATAGTTATTGTGATAGAAATTGTTAGTAGTTACTATTTGGTGCAAGTTGATACTGTAAAATCGTTATGTATCAAGTCGCTGCTTTTTTATTCTGTTTTATTTTCCCCTCTCCCCCATTCTTTCCTCTATCGGCTTTTCCTTTCCCTTTTTTCCACTTTTGCATTTTATATTAAGAAAAAAAACTTAATAAAAATATACTATAAAAAAAAAAGAAGCCTGAAGATGGCACCAACAGGCAGCTTTCCAAAATAACTTTGAAGAGCTCAAAGCTTTTGGAACATCCTTAATCATGCAAATGCAAAAAAACTAATCATATCGCAGAAGTGGGAGATAATCCTTTTCCTTTTACAAGACCGTCTAAATCAGGGATGCCTGGCTGTGGATTTCAACTCCCAGAATCCCTCATGCAGGCTGGAGATGTTTGGGAATTGAAATCCACAGGTCTTAAAAGTTGCCAAGGTTGGACACACCTGGTCTAAATGCAGAGTTCCAAATTTCTACATAAGTCCCTTATTTGGGACTTTAATCTTTAGCTAGAAGGTCAAATTTATTCAATTGGATTTTAGCCACGGTTCCTTCACCCATCCCATATCCCAATTTGTCCCTCCCTCCCTCCCTTCCCCAATCAGTGAACCATTAGGACGAAGCATAGCCCAATCGGATTTGTGTACATAGATCCTGTTCCTACACTTACTTTCAAAAGTAGCTTTAAGCTTCCTGCGGATGTATTATTTAATGATTAAATTTTTATCCCACCTTTATTGCATTATACATAATTCAAGGTGGTATACATACATACATACATACATACATACATACATACATATATACTACTCCTTTTTTCCCCACCACAATTCTGTGAAGTGGGTTTGATTGACAGAGAGGGACTGACCTAAAGTCACTCAGCTGGCTTTCATTCCCAAGTCAGGACTAGAACTCACCACCTCCTGGTGATTGGTTCAAAGACACCCACTTGGTTTTTATGCCTAAGTCAGGACTAGAACTCACCGTCTCCTGGTGATTGGTTCAAAGACACCCACTTGGCTTTCGGGCCTAAGGCAGGACTAGAACTCACCATCTCCTGGTGATTGGTTCAAAGCCCACTTCGACTCTCATGCCTAAGGTGGGTCTAGAACTCACTGTTTTCCATCGGTTGGCCCTAAGCCACCTAGTCAGCTTTCATCCCTAAGGCAAAACTAGAACTCACCATCTCCTAGTTTCTAACCAGTACCTTAGCCAGTACACTAAACTGGCTCTTTTTTTCCTCATTTCCTAGTTCTGGCATACCAGGTGGGGCTAACGCCATGTGCATGTACCTCTTTCGTTTACTATTCTACAGTTATGAGCATAAGGCATTAAGATATGTCAACATTACTTTTGGCTTTAAATGACGCCTGTCGTTGCCCAGGAAATTTGTTTGCCCAACACTGTAATAGAAGCTTAAGTGCAGGAGTTTCCATTACTGTGATTCAGCATTACGGTGCTACTCTTTCAGCTACCATCTGGCCATCCTTTCCTTCCAGTGCCTCAGAATAAACAAACGTTAGCTGATGTGTTCCAGATAGAATATCCTTGGGGATGTGTAGGCGTGCAGATTTTATTTTCTCCTAACCTCCTCCTGGGTCCTCCTTTCTCCCCTCCTTTGAAACAAAAGTTGAGGTTTGGTGTTATTTTCCACATCATTTCCCAACCTTGATTGTTCTGGTCTTCCCATGAAACATCAGTAGTTTTCTTTCTTCTTTTTCTTTGAATTCTTTATTGGCCAAGTGTGATTGGACACACAAGGAATTTGTCTTTGGTGCATATGCTCTCAGTGTACATAAAAAGAAAAGATACATTCATCAAGAATCATAAGGTACAATACTTAATGATAGTCATAGGGTACAAATAAGCAATCAAATCATACTAGGAAACAGCCAATATAAATTGTAAAGATATAAGCCCTAAAGTTGCAGTCATACAGTCACAAGTGGGAGGAGATGGGTGATAGGAACAATGAGAAGATTAATAGTAATAGTAATGCAGACTTAGTAAATAGTTGAACAGTGTTGAGGGAATTATTTGTTTAGCAGAGTGATGGTGTTGGGGAAAAAAACTGTCCTTGTGTCTAGTTCTGGTGTGCAGTGCTCTATAGCGTCATTTTGAGGGAAGGAGTTGAACCAGTTTATGTCCAGGATGTGAGGGGTCTGTAAATATTTTCACAGCCCTCTTTTTGACTCGTGCAGTATACAGGTCCCCAATGGAGGGCAGGTTGATAGTAATTTTTTTTTTTTTTTTGCAGTCCTAATTACTCTCTGAAGTCTGCGTCTGTCTTGTTGGGTTGCAGAACCAAACCAGACAATTACAGAGGTGCAGATGACAGACTCAATAATTCCTCTGTAGAACTGGATCAGCAAGTCATTTTAGTCATTTTCAAGAAATGACTAAAGCCAATAAGTATCTGAAAAGAGCAGGATAGATCAGATGTTTTGCAGACAGACGCCATAAGAACACCCATAAATAGTTTATCTTCTATCCACTCAATAGGTTTTTTTTGCCTTCAGTTATTTTTATGAGCCTCTCTTGAAGTTGGCCCAGTGGAGCAAATATACCACCCTCTAGAATGGGGAACCCCCAACATTTGAAGTTGACAGCAGGTGTGAAAAGTCAGAAGAACATGGAAACTGATATTACAGATGTATTCCTCATCTTTCAACAGTTCATTTAGTCACCAAAGTTACAACAGCACTGGAAAAAGGGCCTTATGGCCATTTTTTAAATTTACAACCATTTCAGCATCACTATGGTCACATGTTCAAAATTCAGATGCTTGGCCTATGACTCGTATTTATGATGGTTGCTGGGCACTGTGATTCCCCTTTTGTGAACTTCTGACAAGCCCAGTCAAAGGGGAAGCCAGATTTACTGAATGGTGTTACTAATTTAACAACTACAGAGATTCATTTAACAGCTGTAGCAAGGAAGATTGTAAAATGGAGCAAACTTCACTTAGCAACTGTCTCACTTAGCAACAGAAATTTTGGGGTCAATTGTGGTCGTAAGTCGAGGACTACCTGTAGTGTTTTGAAGACCAAGGATGAGACTTTTGAGCTAGTTCTAGGCCCCTGTGAAATTCAATGAAGCAAATTCTGAGCATGAGTGGATTGCCTTTCCTGTATAAGCATATGCGTAATTTTGGATTGAGGCATTTCTGTGTGCATGCACTTGTATAGTTAATATAGTTTACAGTTTATAAATCGCTGGCTCTATGGTGGATTCAGCTTGGCTTTGCTTTCATAACTATTTTTTTATTGAAATATGATGTTGAATTGAATTTCTGCTATAACTCTTGTTTATATACCGTTTGGTTTCCTGCCACATGCCTTTCAGAGATACAAATAATTTTAATCCATCCATGATACACAGACATAGCATTTATCTCTAACAACAGTTAGTGAAAAAAACCCACTCTTGGTGACTTTATAGACAAGTGCTCTCCACGCTAGCCTGTCAAACAAAGCTTCTTTCAGTTGTTGGATATTCATCATATAATACAGTCTATATATTCCTTAACAGAACTTTGCCCTGTGCACTTTTGACCTGACCAGTGGCTCCCTAAAAGCCCCATGAATCAGTTGTCTCTAGACGAATTTGTCTTCTAGGTTCTCTTACGTGCTCCTCCTCACCTTGATTGGGGCCACGGTTCCTTGATTGGGGCCATGGTTGTTGGGGATGCTAAGGACCGACTCTTACTCATTTGACAAATATTTTCAGTGATGAAAAGGGGCCAGAAAGGTGAATTTGCCACATGCAGAAGGTGACATGTACTTTCTTGAAAAGAAAACCACCGTAGCATCCTTCCACCCTTTTGCTGCTGCAAACTCATCTTCCTCCTGTTACCTCGGGGTGGGGAGAGAAGCACAAAAGACACATTCTCCTTGCCCTGGGAGTTGTGGGCAGTCAAAGTTCATCATAAACGTCAGCTTACCCTGGACATCACTTCAAGAGAGGGTCAAGGGTCGTGTGTCCAGCCATGATGTGCACCCCTTTCTCTTTCAGAATGAGGTGGGCAGGGGCACCTTTCTAGAAGCAAGGTTGTTGTTTTTTTCATGGGCAGAACACACTTGAAAACAAAGAAATATTTTCATACTGGGCTTTAATGCTTTCCTGTAGTTCTTTCCAGCAAGCAAGGCTGGGCTGGAAAGAGAGCGGATTCATCACACGCATGCTCCAGCATCCGCAGCCCCCTCCATCCCTTTCTCATCCCTGATCTCCTCCCCTCTTCTCTTCTCTCCTCCACCCTTGCTAGGAGCTGCTCAGAGAGAAAGGAACTAGCTCATCTATTGATAGGGAAAGGAGGGGAAAGAGGAGGCTGATCCGTCACTGGGAACCTCTCCAGCATCCTCCCAAGTAGCCGGTTGATCCAGGAGCAGCTGGGACTCTGGGTATTTCAGCACCAGCAGCCCTGGACAGCTCCAGATTCATTGAACTGGTACTTTGAGCCGCTGGCTGAATCCGCCCAGAGACCTACGTCATCACACAAAGAAAAAGAGACGAAGCATCCTTGCTGGGCGCTCCTTTGATCTGTACGAGATCCTGCTTTTCCTGGAGCCCCACAGCAGGGCTTTCTCCTAAACCATGGGCAGAAAGATGCTCCTCAGCCTGTTAACCATGTTGTCCTTGATCGTAGGCCAAATGTTTGGCTTCCCGAAACCTGAAGGTGCAAGAGAAGGTAAGCAGACCCACCTTAGGTTGGGGTGGTCTCATTTTAAACTTCCTCATCTTTCACTAGTTGTAGTGTATTTTTACCCCTTCATCGCCTTGCAAGGACTTAGAGGCTGTGAGACGCTGAACAATTTTTAAAGAATAGAAATTATAACCACATTAGATTTTAGTTCCAAAATCTACATACATATACAGATTTGGAACACAGCCCCTAGATTAAAGCGGATGTGTGTGTGCCAAATTAAATAAAATAAGAAAAAAGGGAAGATTTTTTTAAAAAAATTGGAGAAAAAAGTTTGAATTCCTTTCATTCCAAATTTCTTTTTCATGCTGGGCCTGTTTGATTTGCAAGGAAACATTTCCCCCGTCTCTATCTCTGTACAGGTTTCTCTTAATGTCATACAATCTTTTAATCTCTTGATTATTCCAAGCTGATTACATTACTGCTATTTTAGTCCAGTTCTTATGCATTAGATGATGTATAATGACAAATAACATGCCTTCATGTGACGGAATATCCAGGGCTAATTTCATTAATTAAAAGCAAAAATAAACATTTTGGGTTTTTTTCCCCTAACAAGGTTCCTCTGGGACTTGTTTCAGCATTTTTAAACAAGTGGAGTTTTAGGGAAAGAGGTCGGGATGAACTTTAATAATATGTTTTATTATTATATACATAAGTATATGCAAGAGAGAAAGCATGAAACCCTGATTGTACCACAGCTATCTAAATATATATGTCTGTATTCCAGATAAAACAGTATACAACAGAGAACTAAGTGTAGAGAAACCATTGGAAGAACAGGTAGGTAAAGCAAGTTTCTACAAAAATATATTTCAGTACTGTAAAAATCAGCAGAAACCCAAGCCTCTAGTTGCTAGGAAAATCCTTATGATCTAAATAAATTAATTTCGTAGCACTAATCAAAAACCAAACAAACCAAAAATCCTATGCCACATAAACATTCCAACTAAATATTTACTAGACCAGAATCCTGCCGAAGTCAGTGTATACAATATTTTTATAGGAGCTTATGTGCAACTGCATCCTTGCTACAGAATGAGCTTTTAGCTGACAAAGTGAATAATTCATCACTGCCAAAAATAATCAGATTCATGCAACCGATGACGTAGATGTTCACGCACCACAAGCGCACAGGAGAATAATTGTCAGTCTTCAAAATGTTCTGGAATCCTCAAATGTTTTGCTGATTAGTCAAAGCATCAGGAAAATGTATTTGGAGGCATAGTCGTACAAAGTTTTGAGGATTCCAACCCACTGAGGGTTTTCTATAATGAGCATATTAGCCTTTGAGGGAAGAAGAACGTGGGACTGAACCAGATCTGTGGTCCTTTTATTTCTAATGTCAAACACTGACAAACATTAGGTTTGAAACTGATATTTTTCCTGTCCTGCTTGAGATCTCAAACGCTGAACTTCCTTTGCACGAAAAGCAATTCCTCCCTCTTGAGCTACTGCCCATCTTCTTCCATTAATGAAATCAATAAAAGCATTAATGGGCAAATTGAAAATGCCTGATTTCTTTTCTTGCTAGGGCAGATGAAATGTCTCCCTTGACTGTCTCTTTTTTTTGGGGGGGGGGGGGCATTTATTTTCTTTATTTTACTATATTTCCACAAACAGGCTACCAGAAATCTTACTAAAAGGAGGAGATAAATAAGAGCTCACACATTTTGGAATCCAGCAGCAATTAACTATCCAGTAACTTAAAGAGGCACATCAGAAGTAAAACCCACAAAGCATTAAAGAACATAAGGCAAACATCAAAGGGAATATAATGTTTTTTTCCCCCTACTGCTTAAGTAGAGATGTAGGGGAGATGATGGTTTACACTAGGGGAGGGGATTCAAATTTCTTAACAGCCGGTTCTGTGGGTGTGGCCTAATTTGCAGGGGGGGGGTGGCTTAGTGGTCATGTGACTGGCTGGGCGTGGCTTGTATGTAAAGATTGTAAATATTTATGTAAATATTGAATTTTTTATTGAAACAAAGAGCAACTTTTACCCAAAATCAGGCAAAGCAGGCAGGCAGTTTGAGCTGCTTGCAGAATCACAGATTCACTCGCAGATCTACCTTTCTGCAATCTGCTGCCTGAGTCTGTCACGTAAAATTTGCTTGCACAACGCAGGCGAGTTGGATGGCATGCATGTGAGATAAGGGGTGACTGGGTGGGGCAGGGAGGGGCGGGGCGGAGAGGGGCAGGGCCAGCCAGTGGCGCGATTTGCCGGTTCTCCAAACTGCACAGAATGGTAACAACCGGTTCTGTAGAACTGGTCCAAACTGGTAGAATCCCACCCCTGGTTTACACTAAAGCAAGCTAATCGCCTGTTCAGATCAGTATTGCAAGCTAACTGCCGTCTGCTAATTTTAATTAATGATATCAAGGTGAGACTAGGACCTCATGCAGGCAAAATATATTGAATCAGAATAGAGCTGGAAGGGGGGTCTTGGAGGTCTCCTAGTCCAGCCTGCTCAAGTAGAAGACCCTAGACCATTTCAGACAAATGGTTATCCAATCTCTCCTTAAAAACCTCCAGTGTTGGAGCATTCACAGTTTCTGGAGACAAGTCGTTCCACTGGTTAATTGTTCCAACTGTCAGGGAATTTCTCCTTAGTTCTAAGTTGCTTCTCTCCTTGATTAGTTTCTACCCATTGCTTCTTGTCCTGCCTTTAAGGTGCTTTGGAGAATAGCTTGACTCCCTCTTCTTTGGGGCAGCCCCTGAGATATTGGAACACTGCTATCCTGTCTCCCCTAGTCTTTCTTTTCATCAGACTAGACATGCCCACTTCCTGCAACTGTTAAAATGAGGACTATTGGACAGAAGGCCAGTTGATAAGGCTGGTCCCCATCGCTACTGTCCCCGAGGTGCTTCCTTCTTAGCCCAGTTTACTCCTCTTGGCTTATCTTCGGCAGATAACTCAGTGGACCCCAAGAAGCCACCTCACTCAGTCTTCTCTCCCCCACCCCGTTTTATATGAAGAACAGTTGCAAGAACCAGGCATGGCTAGTCTAGGGAAGAGAAGGGCGAGGGGAGATGTGATAGCAGTCTTCCAATATTTGAGGGGCTGCCACAGAGAGGAGGAAGGGGGTCAAGCTATTTTTCCAAGGCACCTGAAGGCCAGACAAGGAATAATGGATGGAAACTGAACAAGGAGAGATTCAACCTGGAAATAAGGAGAAATTTTCTGACAGTGAGAACAATCAACCCATGGAACAGAAGTTGCCCTTGGAAGTTGTGGGAGCTTCATCACTTGAGACCTTCAAGAAGAGATTGGACTACCATTTGTCAGAAATGATGTAGGGTCTCCCATTTAGGTGTGTGGGGGGGGGTTGGACTAGATGACCTACAAGGTTCCTTCCAACTCTAATTATCTGTTTATCTGTTTACCCCAAAAGATTGCTGAAGCAGAGACAGACAAGATGAAGAAATCACTCCGGACAGGTAAGCCTTCTTTTTTTATTCCCGACTCACTTATTTTTTCCTTACCCCCCCCCTTTTTTAAAAAAAAAAAAACCACAACATTCCTGATTCACTCAGACTGCTGCTTGCTCAGAGGATGAGTTGGTTTCTCGCACGTCTGTATTCCAGATCTTCCAGACAATAAGCCAGAATTCAGGAATTATTCATTTGTGGATGACTTGAACCTGCTGAGATCTGTTGTGGAAAAAGACAGAAAGGAAAAGGAAATGGAATCGGTCAGGAGTCCCCCGTATCCCCAACAGCTTGCTCTTGACGATGTAGATTCCACCAAGACACGCAGGCTGGTGGATGAGTATGACTCCACTAAAAGTGATGTGGATTATAAATACCCAGGTACTGCACTAGCCGTCACCAACCACCACTATGCTCTGAATTCATCCTACGTACGCAGAGGAGTCGAACGGCTTCTCTGAATGCACGTCATCACGGTAGACTCATCAATCTTAGCGGCGAAGCAACAAGAATGCCAAGATGGCCGTGTGCCAAGTACTGCTGATGTGGGTAAAGGAACGATGTTGAGGGGGGGGAAAAAAGAGGAGAGAGAGAGATTCAAGCCATTATGCAACAGCACAGAATGCACTTCACCATGGTGTTAGGCATCCAGAAATTATCCATGGTAATCAGTCACTCCGAGACAATATAATCTCCAACTGATTTATTAGGAACAGCTCTGGTACTTCTAAGGCAATTCCAAAAGTGAAAGTCATTTTTGCGCCTTACACAAAATCCGCCTTCTCTCCTCCCACTCCTACACTTCATTAATCATGAGAACCAATTAACTACAGCTGGAATTTCTCAACGTGACGTACGGAATAACCTTGAACTTTCCAACTCCTCCACCCCCGCTTTTCATACTTGGCAGCTGAATCTCAGAGCTGACACATGGCTTGTTACTCAAAACACAGTACCTTGGGGCAGCGTCCCTAATCCACGGGGCCACAGAACCCAAAACACACACATGTACGAGCTGCAAGAGAGGGTACGTGTGCATCACCATTCGTGTGAGTGTTGGGTGCACGTGCCCACCGCTTGTGCAAATTTGTTCAACAAGCCACAGTTAAGTGCATTCTGTGCTGGAGATGCGTATGCTTAGCCACCGCTCTGGTGGGACCAGCTCCTCTTCCCCGCTCGCCGGTCCACAAAGCTGGAAAAGTTAGGGAACCCTGCCTTAGGGCACACGTAACCACGATATATTTCAGTGGAATATAGACAATTCAAGCCTAAACCAATAGCATAACCAGTGGTGGTATTCTACCGGTTCGGCCCGGTTTGGCCGATCTGGTAGTGGCAATGAGCAGCGGAGATCAAACCAGGTCTCTCCACCGCTCCACTGTTGGGCCCACCTGGGCTCCCGTACTCACCTTTAACCTCTGCTTTTGAGGGGCAACTGCTTTGCACGGAACAGCAGAGTGCTACACGGCAGCTGCTGAAGCAACCGGGAGAGTGCAGGCTTGCAGGAGGTGAGTTGGCCCACATCCACGCACAAAGTGTGTGCACGCACGCAAAGCACGCCCACCAAGCCACTCCCACTGAAGCAGTGGTACACAATTTTGAAACACACCACTGAGCAGAACGCTTGTCTGATATGCAACCGAAGTCATAGGTTCATAACCGAGGCTGGTTTTCGGGTAGCTAAAGTGGCACCATTTATGAAGGAGACCGTAGACCAGGGGTGGGCAACGATGGCAAATTTATGACCTGGGGACTTCAACTCCCAGAATTCATGAGTCAACGACAATTCTGGGAGTTGAAGTCCACAGCTTGTGAAGTTGCCCTGTTGTAGATATCGGTACACGCAGAGAAGTAAGCATACAGAAGCTTAACTTGGCAGAAATACCAAAAGTTTAAAATTTTAGAATCCGAAATGGAGATGATGAACACCCAGAAATAAACAAGGCCTTTTACTTAATTGGAGAAGACTCGTTTGAAGGAAGCAGGTGCCTTCAAGTTATCGGTTTCTTGAATTCTAATTGTAAGACTTCTGGAGAACATGAGATTGGAGAGGTCTCTGGTGTTGCTGGTACATCTGATTCCACTGTAAAGCACATTTTGCTACGGGAAGAACATTTCTGTCTCTAACAAATCTCAGTCTGTTCTCATGGATGCCATCCAAATGCAGTGCAATCCCCATATTAGAGAAACCATGGAATGCAAAAATAGAAACCTTTTTAATTTATCAGCAATACGTAAACCAATTTCGTTCTGCATGCACGATGTGAATTTTCCATGATGTTCATAATTAGCACTAGTGTTGACCTTTAAAAAAAAAAAGGAGGACAGGAAGAGAAAGCGATCCTTGGTATGCGCAAAATGTACCGCCGAATATACTTAGATTACTTAACTAGGAAGGACAGCGTTAACTGAGCTTTGATTATATGGACTGCCCACTCCAAATAGGTAAAGAGAATAGCTACATACATATGCAAACTGTGGAATAATCTACAGTACAAAGCCATGCAACACACTAACGTTGTATGTCCAGTGGAGCAGAATAGCAGAAAATTTGATCTGATGCAGAAGTTCAATAGACTGTAACTGGCCTAACATTTATCTTTTTAGAATAACAGAGTTGGAAGGGACCTTGGAGGTCTTCTAGTCCAACCCCCTGCTCAGGCAGGAAGAAACCCTCTACCATTTCAGACAAATAGTTGTTTCCAACATTAGACAAATTTGAGTCTAATAATTATTGAAACTAGAGACAGGCCCAGTTACATTGTTAGGCACAGTGCAGTTTTTCAAGCCTAAAGAGCCCTCCAGGGATGGTTCATACATTATAAAGTTTAATGGGACAGAAGGAAAACATAATTAAATGTAATCATGTCTATTATTAAGTACAATCATAGTAATGTAAGAGGAAAGGAAAGATATATATTTTGTCATGGCATCATGATTACCTTTTGGAGGGTTGTCTCTAGAATGCCATTCAGGCAAAATGTGGACCATAACATTGGAGAAAATTGTATCCCGTAAATTAGGCAGAATGAGTTATACACCTCAATGAGATGTCCTTAAGATAGAATTTTTCCCCCCAGGTGTCCTTCTCCAGGAGATACCAAGACTTGAACCTGAGGTTTTGTATTCTACCACTGACCTACAGCTGTCCCGAGCATCATTTTATCTCCTTGCTATTCTTTCAGATGACCCTGATGGACTTCATCAGCTTGATGGGACCCCGTTAACAGCGGAGGATATCGTCCAGAAGATTGCCATGCGAATTTATGAGGAAAATGACAGAGGCGTCTTTGACAAGATTGTTTCCAAGCTTCTAAATCTGGGCCTGGTAAGTGTTTTGGGCACCTGTTTAGTTATACAATCTGCTTGGTTTTTTCTTCCTACTTCTTGTTTGAAGGTTCAAAGATGATTTTGAAGAAAAATCTGGAGCAAATGAATTTGTTTTTAAATAAAGAAAGGGGTATTTAACTTAATTGAACCGTGGTGGCGCAGTTGGAATGCAGTATTGCAGGCTCACTCTGCCGACTGCCAGCAGTTCGATTCTGACCAGCTCAAAGTTGACTCAGCCTTCCATCCTTCCGAGGTCGGTAAAATGAAGACCCAGATTGTTGGGGGCAATAAGCTGACTCTGTAAACTGCTTAGAGATACATGTAACGCATTTTAAAGCAGTATATAAGTCTAAGTATTATTGCTATTATTTTGCATTTGAGCTCAGGCTTTGAACAGTAACTTTGATTTGCATCAGTCACAAGATGTTTCTCCATGATATGCAAGTTGCCAATTACTTGAAAAGCTTTATGATCGACAGAGAAGCTCAAAACGTAGGGAAAAATAACAAGGATCTGAGAAGTACTTTCTGTGAAGTTCTTTCTTGCATTGCCAAAGCATTGAATTGCCCCAAGAATCAAGGAAGAAATCCAATGTGTAAAGGAAGAGGAGTTTTAATCCATTACAACGAATCTGTGACTCTTAATTTGCTTTCTGTTTAATTCTGCATTGCGTTTTTTTTTTTTTAAATAATTTTTTCATTGAGTTGAAGATCACTTATACAGACACAACTGTGCAGATAAAAATGATTTGCTTTTACCCCTTTCTTCCCTCCCTTCCTTTCTCTTTTCAAATTTCTGGTCTAGCTTTTAGATTCTACAAAAATAGCATAGCAATAAATAAATAAATAAATCAGGGACTACAGTGGAATTTCCTCGGGATTCAAATGTGAATTATTTTCGCCTGTCTGTCTCAAAAGCACCTAGACGTGGTGTGCAGAGTTCACTGAGAGAATCAAAAAAGAAGTCATTGTTTCTTCCTTTCCTGGCTTTCAGATCACCGAAAGCCAGGCCTACACCCTAGAGGATGAAGTGGCCGAAGCATTGCAGCAGCTGATTACTGACGAAGCCAAAGATCGGGAAAAGGCCTCTGAAGGACTCCCAAGCAAGACCAAAGAGAAGCAGAACATCAAACCGGTAATCCTTCTTCATTACAACCCACTTGAATGGGACAGTTCAGTGGCCGTGCCTACTTGTCAATCGTTCTCTTAGGAAATACACTACAACAGTGATCCCCAACCTTTTTTACG